AGCTTCGGCATAGATTCGCCGGGTTGGCATCAGGCGAATTTGCCTTTCACAGAGAGAAATTTGGGAACATTCCCTCTGGGCACCATTTCAAAATCTCACACCCTTCTTTCTTCTTCTCTTTTTTCCATGTTTTCCAAAAACATGAGTGCCAGTGTCACCAAATGCGGTTCCCCTCCCTCTCTCCAGATTTCAAACTTTGAAACTGCCAAAAGATTAGTTGGCCTTGAACTTAAAGCGAATCCTTTTCCCATTATATTCAGTGTCCAGCGTTCAGGCCGTCTGTAAACTCTGTTGTATCCGGCTATCAATTGCTAGCGACGTATTGAAACATCTCACACTAGAAACTCACCAGAGCAAAGTACGTTCCTTGTCTCCGATTTCAATTTTTTGAACCTTCAAAGCATTTGTATTCCACGTAAATCCACGATACGGTATCACATAGTTTAGGTTCTACAGCAATGTCAAATAACTGGCACCGAGTTTAATGAATACTATAAGCGCTTGTTGAAGGTGCGCTTAGAATCAGTGTAAGATTTCATCTTTTCTCAGGTCAGGTACATATCTTGCTCAGTTTTCTCATTGAGCCCGTCTTGTTCAGTCGTTGGATGGAAGAAGTGATGAAAACCTCAGACGCTCCCAAGCCGGATCCGAAACCCGCTGAAAAGGAGTCGGCGCCAACCCCTGCAACACCGATGTTGATGCAGGCAGCTTCTTCAAGATCACGTGAATTGACTGGTGAGTTTCATTCTCTTCATTTCAAGCTAGATGGAGGCAACTTTTATGTATATTTCACCCGGCAACTGTAACTCAAGGGCCTTTGGAGATTCGTAGGAGCTTCTCGAGAACATTCCTATAGAAAGTTCTACGGTTTCGAAGTAGAAGCTGCAGTGCGACTAGGTCCACTGTCTTGATCTATCACAGACTCCAAACTCTGAAATGAAACCAGTTTTAAGTGCAGGGCCAAACTGCGGTTGTCGTTCTTGCTATAACCGTCGCTTCTAACCAGGAAGGTCTTTCAGGGCGTGACGAAGCTTTTTGAAAACGGTCTTTTGCATGATATAGGGGCAGATGCGGGACCACAGAACCATGTTTAATTTTTCCTGAACGGCCCTCTGAATACCAGAAAAGGGGTCCCTAGTTCGATTCCTCTTGGTGACAAATTTTTGCATTTCGAGTTGACGTTCCAAAATTCGCGCAAAATGGAGTTCTGATTGTTCTGGTTGGTTCTAACTCCATTTTGCGCGAATTTTGGCACGTCAACTCGAAATGCAAAAATTTGTCACCACGAGGAATCGAACTAGGGACCTCCTTTTCTGGTATTCAGAGGGCCGTTCAGGAAAAATTGAACATGGTTCTGTGGTTCCCGCATCTGCCCCTATATCATGCAAAAGACCGTTTTCAAAAAGCTTGTCACGCCCTGAAAGACCTTCCTAAGGTTGAAACGGACTTGTCCTCGATTAACTAGCTTCTTCTAAGCGGCTTGGCTATTTGGTTTCCTCGACCGAGTGCTCACAGAAATACGGTCGAAAGAAGACTTTAATGTCGCACTTTTGTCCTCATCCCTAGTGGTAATCAGGCTGCAAGCATTAACAGCTAGCGGGACCGCTTAAAGAAATCCTTCACGGAAAAATCATGATTCAATTTCCAGCCATAATTCACTGGCTTGAGACCCATCATCCCGATAAGAATGAAAAAAGAACAGAAAAATTGCATTTGTTTTGGTAAAAAAAAATTCGAAAAACGAAAGGGCTGCTACGCGTTCAAGTTACCGCCGCACATCTGTCACAAATGCTGGCGACGGAGATGCTTCCTCTTGGTTCTTGGAATGCCGTCACTAGGCAAACCTTCCTGACTTGCTTGTTCATTATACATTAACATTTTATCTTCCGCTCTACTGCCTTATTCTATTCGATTCATCGTTCGTCTCTACTTCTCCAAAGTCGCACGCTTTAACCCGATTCTTTCATTGCGTCGCCTGATACGTTAGGCGGCCCCTGCGGACCCCCTTTGGCTCCGCCCGAATTACCTTCGATTGTCCATAGAATGGATTTCGTGAGTTTGTTTCTCTTCGGAAACCGAACCTTCATGCGTAAAACTTTGTGTATTGCATCTAGTGATCACAACTGATACATTCATGTTGAGAAAGAATTAAAGTTATTCTGGTTGAAGAGACACCCGTACCCCATACCGTACCCGTCACCGTAATCCAGCGTCAGAAGCTAGCCCTTTCACATATCTCTCTTTCTTTCATGTTTTTCAACTGAAATTGCTTTATCATTCTTAATTCAGACGGAGAGTTCGAAATGGAAATGAAAAATCTGCGCAAGTTATCATCAAGTGTTTCTCCTAAGAAATTCATAGCGATGTACAAAGACAAAATTGCTTCGGTATGGAGTCCCCTTACTTTTATGTCCTTTCTGCAGCAGAGTCCATAAAGTTTTATTGCAGACTAAATGCACTTCATGTAATAGGAAGACACAAGGCCCCATGGAAGAAAAATGTAAAGCCACCATGCTCTCGGAGAACACTGTGAAAAGGTTACCATCTATTCGAGTTTTGAGTAGAATCTCTTGATTCACTTTAGTAGTGGAGTTATATCCAGATGATGTTCTTTTCTTCAGATTCGACAAAGCGGATATAGAGTCACCACGAGTGATATAAAGTTATGGAAATCACAAATTTCGGCTGTAATGTGACTTTATCATGAAGTATGCTCTCCTATCACTTAACTTGTAATCACTGTAATATTCCTCTGATCATTCCTCTCTTTTGAATTAATCATTCATGTGACTTAGATTATGACCTCCATCTTCAGTTTTATTATTTTCCGGGTGACGTTTATACTTTGAAGCATTTTAGAATGTCTTTATAAGCTTGCATTATTCAACTGCACTTAACTTTGTATTTCTTGACTACCTTTTTATACCTGCCTAACTAGTACACAGAAGTAAAAATAAAAAAAAACATTAAGGAACAGAATTAGCTAATAACGCCTCTACTTCCAGTCTGTATTTGCACGTGGAGGGTTCGTCTAATCAGAATGCTCAGAGGCTAAACTCAAAAACTGAGCAAAATGGTGTGTAGATTTTGTTTTAGCCTGTCCAAGATTACAGCAGCTTTTATTAAGCTTAAATTTCGGCCTCTTCGCCTTCGTCAGAGCCTAGATCATTGTGTCGCCGATCTCAGATCACCACCCAGGAGCTTCTTTTGCTGGAATGTGAGCAAAAGGGGGCTGAATCGGGGACACCGGACCCTTGTTTCCTATCGCTGTAAGCCAGGGTAATACAGCGCTAAGCTGCCTACGTTACTTTGAAGCATAACTACCGGGAATCTATTTTGTTTCTATAATCGCAAACCGTCATTTTCCTTGATAACGACTTTTTCGCCCTTTAAGGTATACTCACGATGAATTTCAAAAAGTCATTCCTCTGGCAGGTGGGATCAAGCTGTCCACTGCTGAAGTTGCAGAGGTCCCACTCTCCCGGCTTGAAGGCGACAAGAGAGCCAGGACTGCCAATAACGTTTGACCGTCTACATTTTTCTCCTTTTAGCAAGCTCGTCTACCCGCCTACGCTCCGTCGTGCATCTCTCATCTTTCCTCTCTCTCTCCTCAATGCTCACTGTCTCATCAATTAGCACATCGGAGTTGAAAAAATGGGAAATCCTTCATTTCAGCATCTTCAACTGATTCCTCCTTTCTTGTCCACTTCGCACCTCTGCTAGGATTTTCGTGTGCAAGATCACACCAGTTTGCTTGACCGTGAAGTGTACCTTTAAGTCCGATATCGATATCTAGATCGTCCACGGCGTGCAATTCAGAGCAAGTTTTTTTATTTGGCTGAAGTAGGAGTCGCTATATTGAAACATGTTACAGTGAAACACGTTGCTGATTCACGTTTTCCACATGAAAAGTACCGCTTTCATAGCAGGAATAGATTATAGATTTTGCTGACACATATTTCATGGTACTAGAATCTGTTTATGAAAAAAGTCATTGAGCCCTATTATTTACAAAAAGTGACGTTGACTTCACATGATTATTGGGAACCGCTCCCTCTATAAGAGGCGTCACTGTTTATTCCACAGCGCTGTGACAATCGAGTGCGGCTCGACGGTAAAGTGTAGATGATGGCTTGTGGTTACGTCGTTGAGTGCTATGCTCACGGGTGAGCTCAATCTGTTAATCAGTGTCACAGTTCGGCGCCCTGAAACTGATTTGAAATGATTCCGCGCTTTCCAATTCTTGTGCCAAACACAACACCTGCGCTTAAGTTTACGGACACCAGCAAGTGCTGTTTCTATTGAAGGCAAAGGACGATGAAAGCAGACGCTACCTCGGTTTCAAACGTGGTCGGGCGTACAGGGAGAAGAAAACGAGAGAAACAGGCCCGTACACAAAAAAGTGTAACCCTCTCCTTGCCGGCTGACTTCCCTATTGGTGCGACTGTCAGTGGTGCTGCCCTCTTCAACCTCTCGCCCTCCCTGCTAAACTTCTAGAATTAGAAGGCGGAAGGATGGGAGCGACCTAGCGTGAGCAAAGTGGGCATGGCCTGCTGAAGTGACTCCCGTACCTTCAGAGGGCCCGCCTGCCTTTTGCCGTGCTTTGTTCCCCTTCTTCCCTCCCTACAACCTTATCCTGGAATCCTTTCATCTATAACATCCTTAAACTAGTAATACTTACTTCGGTCGGGAAGAACTCAAAAGTACTAAATAGATAGTGGCATTTTCATTGAAGAAAATTGCTACTTGAGAACCGTTTTCACTCCTTCAGCAACGCATTCCCTTTGATTGACTCCAACGTTTTCTCAAAGGTGAAACATAGAATGATAGCGAACCTTTGTAGACGACAGTGGTAGCGAGGATTCCATTTGAGCCAGTGACCGTAGTGTTCACTCGTACTGCATCTCGTTTGAAAAATTTGCTAAATATTTTGTATGAAATTTCAGAACGACAATTTTCTGCAGCCGCAATTACACGTGATAAAGAGTTGTAAATTTCTTTCAGAATGATGTGCAGTAACGCAATGAGTCTGCGATGAGGTAATTCGGAATTGTTAAAATGTATAAACTGAAAAAATGGAAGTGACAACTTCCTCATTTTGAATATATTTATTTGTTTCGTATTTTAGTTTCAAATGTCAGATTGAAATTGAAGCAGTACTTTATCCAAGCAACATGAGTTCATTATCTGCCTGTAAACCAGGGTGTAGCAATACGTAGCTGAACAATGCCGAGTGCTTGTTTTCATGATGTCCTTTAGGAAGGCACACTTAATGTCACTCTTATTCCGAGCGAAACGGGTACCCGACAGAAGGCCCGGTCGCGTCGAAAAAGCAGAGTCACAGTGGACGAGGCGCAGCTACTGTAATGACTTTGCGTCAAGTTAAATAGAATGTACCATTTCACGTCCTACATCGCACAGCATGCGCTGCGACTCGTCCATTGACTCCACCTCCTTGCCGAGCGACGGGCCTCCTGTCGGGTACCCCAGCGAAACTGATCTCATACCCGGCACTTATTGCAATCGCTTGAGCATTGACGTAAAGAGCTGATGACTCTTGAAACGTTGGTGCTCTGGTGACCATGCTCTGGTGCAATAGAGGCGATTCACGATGTATTTGCGATGTACTTTAGGGGTAGAAGCGACCAAGACCACAATAACTTAAAATATAGTAATAAGTTATCTAAAAGTTACGGCCTACCTGAAATGTCCCATTGCGTAAAACATTGGCTGCTTGTAAAATTCGTCTGATGTCGCGTTCACAATGACTGGTGAATCGACAAAATTGTCAACCCAGTTTGGTCCACCCCGCTCATTGAGGCACATGTTCCAATCAGTCCAGCCAGTGACGAAATTATTTAAATCCTATATCGTATAACTTCGTACAGAGATACTAAACTAATTTAGAATTTTTCACAATCACAGTAGACTAGTCTCGCCGAATATCGAAGTTCCAAGCCGCTCCTGGCGGCATTAAAGCGGCACGCTCCGCCATTAGGAGCGCTCACCTGGTCCACCCCGGAAGTAGTAGACAGGTGGACTAGCGCGTGATGTCGCGCCCTACCTGCGGCTTGAAAGTGCGTCACCAAGGGAAAGCTAGAAGCTCGTCGGACCCGCAACTTACACCTTTGTCCGCAAAATCCGCCGTACGACATCAGTTGCCATGTGTCGCTGCATGAAAAACGCAGGCGCACTTGAGGCAGCGGTTGCATTGCACAATGTCATTGGCACGAGGTAAGCAAACCAGCCCTTTTGGCGTTTCGGCTGGGACCGTATGCTGAATGTTGGGGAGGGGATGGGGTCCCCAACGGTCGACGGTTTACTTCAACTCGGTTGGTACGATAGGAGAGTACTGACGCAAGTGGTGCAGCTGGTCCAGCAGCTCCGCCAGAAGGGCTGGTTTGCTCACCCCAGGACTAAGCCTTGGAGAGGGGACGGACCCGTCCTCTCTTTAAGGCTTAGTTCTGAGGTGAGCACCAAATTGTGGCGGTTCTAAGGACCGAGTTGAAGTGGTCCGTCCACCGTCGGGGACTCCATCCCCTCCCCAACATTCAGCATACGGTCCCAGCCGAAGCGCCAAAAGGGCTGGTTTGCTTACGTCATGGCACTGAAGCAAGGTTCGTGAAACTCGTCCAATACGCCCCTTCTTCATCCCAAGCTGGATTCAGGCTGAAAGAAAAAGAGGTTCCTATTTAGGGCGTGGTCGGGGGGTTTCCTTCGCTTTTCTTTTCCGGACCATTTGCCACCTCCAACTTCATAAATGAACGCTTTTCCACACCTATTTTATCCCGAAGCATGCTTTTAATGGTGTCCCCGACTACGGTCAGACTTCACCTTCCATTTACAACCGCACTGATTCGCTCGTTACTCACATTCGTTTGTGAGGCCATCACCTGAGCACCACCAGGCAGAGAAAAAAGCCATACCACCAGACCGGCGAAAAAGGGAAGTGCTTGTTGGAAGCTGGAGCTCGTGATTTGCCTGATCTGAGTGATGAGGGGGGAGGGAAGAAAGACGTCTAGCAAAGGGTAGCAGAGGACGAGATTTGGGGCCTAGTGTCCTGGCTGACTCAGTGTTCTGCCCATAACGCAGAAACCTTGCGACGCACTTTCCTGTATCTTGAAGGATCCAATTCTCCACATCAGTCCTTTGACTCCAATGGGGGCAGTGAATGAAATGCACGTTGAATACTTTTGGGGTTGCGCCACGCCTTTACTTCCACTCGCAATTGAGTGGCATCTGAGAGCGTGGAGAGTTTACATATGATGCTATGAGTAGCCCGCGTCGACCGATTTGAAGGTTTAATATTTTATAATATTTAATATTTATATTTGAGGGTTTTTGATAGCTGAATATGGCCAAATAAACAACTCCGAAACCGAGCGCGAAGGCTTGTTCGAGCAGAACTAGGTCCAGCACTGGGATCATGGAGAATCAGAGAATTACCGCTGTTCGTGTCGTGCATCTGAATGTAACCTATTTTGTTGTATATGTGAATTTAGGAAGGGGGTCGTTTAGGGAACTATTGAGAGGAGTCGGATCGACGGGCTATTTCCTCGACCCAGTTTTATCACCCCTTCTTGTAGAGTAAAATTATATAGGTCACAAATCACGTTTTTAACATGTGCATACGCTTTATCCATTTATCACAACTTTTCTACTCTTTCTACTCTTGTTTTGCAACTTTGATGGAGCTTTTTGGAAGAGTTTCGACCCCCAAAAATAAACTGACAATTTCCACGCACTGTGCTTTACAAGTGATATCCTTGTCCATATGAACCTTTATAGGCTCTGCTACTCTGACTTTGTCATTCACAGCAAAAGAATTACCTCTATAATGCTGGCGGCATATTCTTCTGCACGGTACCAGTCTCCAAGAATCGGGCCGTGACCGATGAATGCTCCAGCACAAGCCTGCAAGAAAGCAGAGAAAATAAAGCAAGATATGAGCACCTTGATGACAACAAGGCCCGTATGTGTAGCTCACTGCGCACCGCCTGGGACTTTCATAATGCGACTCCATGATTTTTGATTTGATTACTTTGCCGACGTAAGCAAACCAGCCCTTTTGGCGCTTCGGCTGGGACCGTATGCTGAATGTTGGGGAGGGGATGGAGTCCCCGACGGTGGACGGACCACTTCAACTCGGTCCTTAGAACCGCCACAATTTGGTGCTTACCTCAGAACTAAGCCTTAAAGAGAGGACGGGTCCGTCCCCTCTCCAAGGCTTAGTCCTGGGGTGAGCAAACCAGCCCTTCTGGCGGAGCTGCTGGACCAGCTGCACCACATGCGTCAGTACTAACCGAGTAAGTAAACCGTCGACCGTTGGGACCCCATCCCCTCCCAACGTTCGGCATACGGTCCCAGCCGAAACGCCGAAAGGGCTGGTTTGCTTACCTCGTCTTTGCCTATGCACGACTTTTTGAAAATTTCCCCATCGTTGGTTTTAAAGCCTTCAAAACCTCTTTTCGGTTTCGAAGTCTGCAATTACACTCTTTGTTTCACGTTCATTTTCATGAGATATAAGTGAAAAGTGTAATTACAGCTAGAAATGATCAAAACAAGAAACAAAATGCTTCTGAAGCCCATTGCAGTAGGGGTTTTGCTTGCCCGTTGCTTCTCACGAGTCCATTTAGTCAAAACATAACTATTTTACCCCCAAATAACTTCTGCGCATTGAACTTTGCCGAAATGGCTCGGTACCATTCATTTTTGTGCATTCATAACTCAAATCAATAAGTGAGGTAAGGCGCCAGCTTTTGTGAAATCGTGTCGAACTTAAAGGCACAACCACGAGTGAGGTCGAGTATGACAATCAATTCTGTGGATGGGACAAAGTACGCACAAGAATCACAGTAATGCCGTTGCCGCGACTAAAAGCCGCGCGACATAAGCGCAGGACCTTAAGAAGTGAAGAAATCTGAGCAAATGGACGAGATTCCTCGCGCACACCGCAACAACGTGCATTACGACGCGGAGACTATTCAATAATGCGCAGGTTACCGGAGCCATGGATTCAGCAGTTCGGAAAACTCGTCAACACCCCTCCTCGTATAAAGGGGAAGAGAGGAGGTCATTGCTAACAAGGGAAGCATGGTAGCGTCGAAGTGGCCCGCGAAATGGGAATGTTTTCCTTCCCGATTGCGTCTCCAAACGCTGATTCCAAATCTGCCTTCCAAATCTGCTAAACGGCTCTCCGAACGGAGTTATGAAGCGTAATAGCTCAGTGGTGATGGTCCGGGGTGGCAGGTAAAAGCTCGTAGGATCGGTTCCTTTGCAAGTTTGTTGCTTTGCTTTGTCCGCAACACTTCTAGAGACAAAAGCAAAGCAACCAATTTGCAAAGGAACCGATCCTACGAGCTTTTACCTGCCACCCCGGACCATCACCACTGAGCTATTACGCTTCATAACTCCGTTCGGAGAGCCGTTTAGCAGATTTGGAAGGCAGATTTGGAATCAGCGTCTAGAGACGCATCAGGAGGTATACATCTCATTTTATACGGCCACTTCGACCTACCATCCTTCCCTTGTAAGCTGGCGTCAATTAGATTTCTTTTGGTTTTCCCATTTTTAGTTAACTTGGCTTCCACACCCCACCAATTTGACGCGGTATCGTTACTTTCAGAAGCCAAACAAGCGGAGAGGCGCCAAGGTCAAACTAAAAAATATAAATGTTAGTCACTGTTGACAAAATCACTAAACAATACCTCAGTGGCGAGTAGAAACTTTCCTGGATGTCTGTTGTGGGTAGTTGTCAGTACCGAGAGACCGGGATGAGACCATCAAGATACCAGTGCACGCCAATACCATCCACATATTTGGATGCTTCGTCATCGTTGAAGATCTAGAAGCACACGGAGGACTGACTAGAACTATAATACTTGCCTAAGATTCTTCTACTTGTCACTTCTCGGACTCTTATCGCGGATGACCTTACCGCCCTCTTTCGTTAGTTGGGCTTGAAAATGAACTCTATTCCAAAGTGAAGGGCCACACTAGCAACTTCTGTATTTGATCACATTAGCATCGGCAAAATCCTATACAGGAAAATCTTACGCATCATTGGAAATGCAAGGTGTTTCCCAACCAGAGTGTACCAGTGTCAGTACTTGTTAGATATAAGAAGGTGGATGAAAAGTGCAGTGGCAAACTTGGTCTTCTAGGTAGATGATCTGGTCGGGAGTCGGGTCATCAATAAGGTTTCTTTCGAAAAACCTCGTTTGCGGAAGAAACCCGTTAAAGTTAACCCCCGTGCCGCGGTTCATCGAGAGAGAAGTTGGAGATTACTTCTAAGAGATCTCAGCAAGAGTGGCACTCACTGTATCAGCCCAAGCAGGTAGTAAGAGTCTGTTGTCATCCAGCGCGATCACTTTCAAATCCCGCGTCACTTGGTTGCTCTTGAACAACGGGCCAAGTGTGACCTTGACGAAATCACTGAATAACATCGAGAGATGAAGAAGATATCAAAGCGCATCTCATATCTCACCGTTGCATTCCAGCAGTGAAAAACATTGTTTGCCATCCGTAAAAAGGCAAAACTCCAGAAGTGGGCTCATTCTTGCAGTGTCATTCCCCAAAACGAAATGCCATTTTTGGCATATTCTTCGAAGAACCTGGAACAAGAAACCAAAATCGGCGGCCTGTGGGCAATCCTCTTCTTACTTTGTTCTATGGCTGAAAATCGAAGAAAATTCATATGTGGCTTACTTCACAAGATACGCAGCATACGAGCGGTAATATTTGCCATTCACTTCGCCGATAAGTGCTCCTCCACCCTGAACATTTTTTTCTTCTAATCGGAACCTTTTCGACACGTAGTATGTAGGTCAACAGGGAAAGGGACAAAAAAAGACATTTTATGGAGCTATCGCAAGATACGGGGGCATCCTCTAGGACTACGCCTAGGAGTGGGCAAGAACTTATTATTGGAGGAATGAAACTCGCTCACGCACCCTTGAAGTCTTCTGCCTCGCCTAAGGCTTTGTCCCGATTTTGGCGAAAAGGGGATTTTCACGTGGTTTTTCAAACGCATCGCTGTCTTACTGCCCGCTTTATCTTGCGATAACGCCCATTTTATCTCCATATTTGAAACGGACTGAATCACACTTTGCTAAATTTAAACCGTGCTCCCAGCTAAAATTTGTGGAGTGATTTTCGTTCTATAAAAAGTCCCATTATGGCCTTCTTCACCGATGACATCAGAAGAATCTGTCACGAAAACATGATGCTCAGTCCAAGCGCAACGGGTCCTTGATGGATCGTGGATCATCACGACTTTTTCTGAATGACTAGCCGGGAGGAGTTTGCATGGGCAATTTTTCTAGGAAACTATCCACCCATGAAACGATTCATCTAACATGTAGGGCAGCTCCAGCTGAGGCGGTTAGCCATCCTTTGGCTCGATGGCTGCTACATCCTGAGAACGGTGAGGATCAGTGGAGGGGGGTACCTATCTCTTCTAAATAGAGGAGACATTTTCAGGAGTCCGTAGTGTTAATATCGTCACGGGGCAATCTACGTGGTCCGAAAAAATGGATAGCGACAAAGGGAAAAGTTTTCTTTTGGCTCCTTGCTTATTTTGTGCATGCTCGCTGTCGCTTTTGCGACAGTTTACTAGATGCTCAGTGTCAAAAGCGTTTGTTCCATTTGCGCCAGCTGAAGCTCCTGATTCTTTTTTCTGTGTCTTTTTTTTTGGAAATTCTCTTATTGGTTGCACTGTCCCTTAATCAGTGGGTCTGACGTAAGTCATGCATTCGAATTCTACGGCGATGAGTACACCGTATTCAGGGCTGTATGAGAGGCATTTATGGCACTGTAATATCTATGAGCAAGGCCAATCAAAAGAGAGGCGCACTTTTAGACAGTTATTTCCAACAGAAATGATTAGGACGCCGTTTTTATAAGGAGGAATTCACGATTAGAATGAAGGTCGAAGAAAGGGAAACTGACCTAGTTGAGGGACCCACGGACCTCCTGAGGGTGCGAACTGACGCGCAATTCGCATGGAAAAATTTGACCTCGGCGACCTATCATGCCTCAAAGCTGGCGGGTCCGGCGATCTCCGCCCACCGATCATCTGATCACTCGCCGTAGTTCAATACGTGGCGAGTGATTAGATAGCTGAGAGAGCGTAGTGTTGAAGAGGGCACAGCGATGAGAGTCGCATCAATGCTCAAATCAACGGGCAAGGAAGGGGTCCATTTCTCGGGTTCTGGGCCGTTTCTCATGGTTCTTCCTTCTTTCGTGTACCACTCACCATCCCTAGGTTAATTTGAAATGGGTTGCTTTTTCATCGTGAATTCGTCCTTTAAAATCATTACATTTCTTGAGAATAGAATGACTTTTTCCAGCTTCAGTGGTAATATAATAGCAGATTGGCAGGATATCGGCTTGGAAGTACTTTTCTGAGAAATCTTGATATCGTAGGATTTTTGCGGGTCCATAATCTCGCCGAACGGGTTGAATTTCGAGAAGCTCACCTTCATATGGCCACTTCCTTTCATCCAACCAGGTGCGCTCCATGGTGATGCGTAGAGGAGCAGCTTATCACTAGTTAGATTCATCGCGGACAAGATGTAAGGTATCTTAATGACCAACAGCTTAAAATTGTTGTTAAATAAAATTGAGTAATTGGCACAAGAAGTGGCAAATGCACCAATTTTGTCTAAAACACGCTACCTTCGTGCAACTTTCGCCAGAATCATCAAAAATCCATCAAAAACAACCCTCTTTCTGCGACCTCGGTTCGCACTTTTTCCAGAAAAAGTTGACCTTCCTCAACCTTGAATGTAATCCCCTTCCCCAAATCACTCGCTACGCCCTTGTTCAAACGGATGGTTGTTTCTGATAGGACTCCATACGACTGATGTTTTGACTTATACCGTCTTCCACAAAGCC